CTTTCCTTCACACTGGATTCACATTTGGGAGCTTTCTCTATTTGTTTTTCCACCTATAAGCACTAACCAGCCTCTCTCCCATGGGGCTCCAGCTCCGTCGTTTCATAAGGCAGTATCCAGCCAATCCCAGAAATGCTAGCAGCAGACCAGAGGTGACCAAGGCAATAAGTGTCTTCCGGGTATAGCTCTTGTGATTTTCAATGCCATGTTTTTCATATTGTATCCCTAGCTGAAAAAACACAAACAGAGCCAAAAATATGATAAACAGGAAACATGTTTCATTCTTAGGACCTCCTATTTATATCCAAAATACTCGGTTCAGTTTCTTTTTTCAGTTTTAATTTCAAGGAGGGATGGACAGAGAAATGTAGATAGAATTTCCAGAAGCATCTGCCTTATTCAGTCTGATCCCACCAAAGGAGACAAGATATGAGAAATCAGTTATGAGAGAAGATAGGATCATCTCTTGAAGGGAGAAAATGACTCAGAGAACAGCTGATTCAGGATCTGAGCTCTCACAATGTCTGAAATTTCACATAAAAGCACTAAGTAGTTGCACCTTTTTAATACAAATCTCTCTCTTTGACCTCCCCCCAATATTCCTTTCTGTTCACAGATAACAGAACTGGGTGTATATTGTAGGGGGAGGTGTTTTAAAACAAAACTGGAATGTATGGCTCAGGACATCCTACATCCTACAACTTGCATCAATGCTTGAAGCCTATGTTTTTCCTGGACAGGTATGGCATGTCAGCTGCACCAGGGGGCACCAGCGTAATCTATGGGGGGGCTGGGGGGCTGAAGACTCCCCCGAAATTCCCCAGAAGCCCCGCCCACCAGAGCATTGCCCGTCTGCCTGCCAGCCAGAGGGGCTCTCTCTCTCCGCCGCGCCTCGCCTGCCCGGCACGTGGCTGCAGCGGCTGCCTCCAGTGGCCAGGGAGGAGGACGCTGAGCTATCCCCAGGAAGCGAGAGGAATCCCTCCCTGCTCGGCAAAACCCATGTGCGCGGCGGAGGGACAAAGTCTGCCCGATGAGGGTGAGGTCAGAGCCCGCCAAGAACCGTGCACGCCGATCAGAGCCGGCCCCTGGGTGACGTGGCTCTAGTGAGCTGGGAGGGGATTCCCGGGGCTCCCTACCCGGCTGGTCTAGCCTCCTGCAGATCCTCCGGCACCCCGCTGCAACCCCCCTTCCACGCTGCAAACTCGTTTCCGCAAGATGGGGGGGGGAGGAAGCCTTTGGTGATTCTGTGCAATGGCATGGGGGGGGGACGGCTCCCTCTGGCTCCCCCAGCTCTGGTAAGAGGCTCTTTTCCACAGCAGCTCCAAAGGGGGGAGGGGGGACGGACAGACAGCTAAGCTGCCTTCCCTGCCTTT